AATCTTTAATTTGTTCCAATAGCTGAGCCATTCCTCCTTGTATCTGCTGTAATCCTGTAGATAACATCTTTTGAATGTTCTGTTGCCAGTCCTTAAGTTCTCTTGCCCCAATAATTTCAGATTTTGTTCCTCTCGGGGCCTTTTCCTTTCTCTCCTTCACTGTCATCTTCCAGATTTCTTAAAGATGGTATTTTGATTCTTTCCAGCAGGTATCGCTGCTGCCCCACCTTTCATTCAAACAACACTATTTACATAGCCCATCCAAAACATAGGCCAGAACCTTCCTCTCCTCAAAATGTTATCACAGCCACCAGTCAAAACAATGAGCGCTTAACATAACAAACAATGCCTTGAGGGAAATAACATTAGCAGTTCAATTCTTTTTTTCCTGTACGTAACTCGAGGGAAGTTCGTATGTCAAGTCCTTATTTCCCCTATAGGGCGGGTTCATAAGTTGAATTGTTCGCAAGTAGAGTCATTCGTAAGTCGAGACCCCACTGTATAAAACACATATCTTGACTTACTTAGAGTCCTGGTCAGGATATTTTCCAAAATCTTTCTGTACTCCTCTGCTCTCTGCAAGGGGTGTTCCCAGCTCTTTGCCCAACAGGGCTTCTGCCTCAGTCTGTGCGCTCAGAAAGACTGGGGGGGGAACAGCTTCCATTCATTTCTCTCCCCTTTCTGTCATCTCTGCTGCTTCAGACACTGCTTTTCTTAGCAGACTGTCCCTTGCCCCCTACATTGGAGGCTTCACAACCGAAGGATCCCGGTCAGTTTCAGGATCTCTCCTGAAACCCAAACAGTCTCGCTGTGACAAAGCCCTGCCTCTATTCATTCTTTAAATTGATGAGCTGTTACTCTTTGGCTGAAATCCTGTTGTGTAAGTTACACTGCAGAAGGCTGGTGATGTCATCAATAGAAGGTTGTTTTGTTTTTTGTTTGTTTTTTCTTTTCTTTTTTTGCTTTTTTAAAAAATCTGACTTCTGTTCTGAAGGTCCTGAGGCCCCCATATGATCACTTTCATCATTGGGAAGACAAGGGAGCATAGGATGATAGTGAGCAGTCCTTTACTACCAAGAATTGTCATCACCAATAAAGTCATTTTCACAATTTTTGGTAAATACAGTAGTACCTCGGTTTACGAATGCCTCAGTTAATGTAGTTTTCAGTTTACGAATGGAAATCCATTGAAAATAATGCCTCGCTTTATGGGGTTTTTTCCGTAGTACAAAAGAATTTTCCCCAGGATACATTGTTCTTGGAGGTTTATAGCACTGCCCCCAATTCCTATGGCAATCCACATTTCGGTTTATGAATTTTTCGCTTTACGTAACGTCCCATAGAATGCATTAATTTCATAAACCGAGGTACTACTATAGTAATTCCTGCGGATCCCTCATATGATTACACTGTATTTAAATAGACTAATTACTGAAGTATCTTTGGATTGGGATAGGTGAATACCATTAAATCTGACCCTTTAGGCAAGAGTTAATACATTCAAGATGAATTATTATTCCTGAGATAACACATTTTAAGAGGAAACTATTTTCAGGAATTAAATACTATATTTTTCTGTTTACAAGAAAACCCAAAGTATAAGATGATCCCCGTTTTCTAACCCCCAAATTAGTAAATTGGCACGCTCATGCCCCTTTGATCCTCCTGCCCTTTTCCGGTTGCGTTTCCTGCTTCCTAAGCCCTGCGGAGCTTAGGAAATGGGTAATGCAGCCATGAAAGAGCAGTGCACTCATGCCCCTTTGATCCTCCTGCCCTTTCCTGGCTGTGTTTCCTGCTTCCTAAGCCATGCAGAGCTAAGGAAATGGGTAATGCAGCCATGAAAGGGCAGCGCGCTTGCGCTCCTTTGATCCTGATGCCCTTTCATGGCTGCTTCAGGATCAAAGGGGTGCGAGTGTGCTCCCTTTCATGGCTGCTTTACTCTGTGGTTTCGCAAAAGGCAGGGAAAGTGGCTGCCTGCCGTGTATATAATGACCCTTAATTTTGGTCTTAAGTAAAAAGTCTCATTTTATACACGGAAAAATATGGTACGTTATTCTGGAAATTCATATGGCAAGAGTTCCTTGCTACCATGGATTTTTCTCAACGAGCAACTCATGCTACCTATTAACAAATCTGGGTTTGCAGGTCTTAGACTAGATATAGACTAAGATCTGCAAATGCAAACCTTTATTTCTGGTATTGCAGAACATTCTCCCAGTGAATTAATACGTCAAGAAAAGGAGCAGAATTATAGATCTATCTGCCACCAAAGATGTCAATCTTCAGAAAACAATGTTCTTCTTTCACTTGTTAAAGCTGTTTCTAAAAATGAGGTTGAAATATCTGCCCGCCTGTTTAACTGTTCATTGTGTATCCATTTATTGTTCTGTGAGGTTAAATAGCAATTGAAAATAGTGCTGGAAAGTACTTTTCATTATCTAGAAAACAAACAATAGTATTGTAGAAAGCGTCAATGAAATGCCTAAAGTTATTTATCTATTTATTCTCCCTAAAAGGTTCTCAGACTTATTATCAATTATTCCAAATAACGACAGGAATTCTGAGTTATGATCCTCTCCAAAGTATGTGCAGAGAAGCTGATATGGGAGGAAATGTTTCTATGTATCATGGACAGGGGCCCTGGGGCCCTCCAAATGTTGCTGCACTCCAACTCCCACTGTGCCTTTTGAATCATTTTGTTGGCCAAAGCTGACAGCTGAATGAGGAACTGATGATATAGCTGGACCAGACCTTCTAGCAGGCAATGTTTGCTGGAATACCCACCTGGACATCTAGAAGCAATGGAAACTCTGAGGTATGCCTCAGCGTAGGCAGCTTATGGTGACTCCATCCTCTCTTAAACTTCCCAAATAGAAAGGCATCTATAATTAACTATGCCAGGTTTGTATGGGAATAACATTGTATGCTAGGTTACTGGATGTGGATGGACGGAGTGCCAGTGTGATTGGATGTTGAATGTAGTGGGATCAGGATGATTCAGAGAGCAGTTTTGTCTGTGTGGCAGTTTAGAAATTAGCTGAGAATCTATTAGAGAGTTAGATCTGAGCCTCCTGACCTCTGCTTCTGTGGCCAGGTACTTATCTCACTGAAGCCATTTGTACAGCCATGCTCTTAATTAGTGGAAGGGTAAATGTTGATGTAGTAATAACGGAACAGGGGAAAATGTAGTTTTCCCACAAGAGTCACACTGTTATGTTTAACTATATATAAAGAATGATAAACCTGAATATATACTATAACTTCAAGTATTTAATATCCTGGGAAATTCCTGGAGTAATTTTTACAGAACATTGTCCTACAGATGTTTGCTAGCCCAATGCAAATCTGTTATTTGTTTGAGCCCCCTCCCCCAATCTCTGGGGTATAAAATTGCTTGCTTAGAATGTAACATCTCATGCCTTAAAACTTTTGAGTACGAATGTAATATCCAAGGACCATAGCTATCTTTCCAGATATGCTTTTAAAGCTGTCTAGGCTCAAAGAAATAAATTGCTTAGTTGCAAAGTTCCATTTATTAAAACTGCTTTTAAGGCCTAATGCCAGGTTGCATTCATTTCTAAAGCATATTGCTGTGGGGTTTTTAAACCCTGTCTTTTATGGCCACTACTGCATCAGAATTTATTCAAATGTTTTGTCACTAAGGTTGTACCGTTGTCCCGAGGGATCATATACTACCACTGAGTTCACATATCTGAAATCATTACTGATCAAAATTTCATTAAATATAACTTTTTAATATTTATTTTGATTTATGCAGAGTAAGGAGGAGAAGATATGTCAGTTTCACTTTCTCCTGCATACAGGCCTCTTTTAAACCTCTTGTTCTTTCCTTCCCAAATACATGAGCATGAAGTGTTTCCACATTCTTCAAAAATGAACTGGAATGAAATTTTCAACTATCTCTACTGATGAAATTTGATAAGGTGAGCTACTCCCAGCATGATAGCTGTATATGTGTTAAAGATAGGAATTTCTCAGGAAAAAACTGGGAAATCTCTTATTCAGCAATAGCCTCAAGTCCTGGAGAAAGATGAGGTAAAATATTTAAAATAAATAAAAAATTACTAATTAATTATGAATATGGGTTCAAAGACAGAATTTTCAGAGTTATGCATTCAAAGGGATTTTTGAATGCTTTGGCCCTGGATGGACAACTGTCTCAGTCCCATTCATATTCAATTTTTATTTATTTATTTTTACTCTCAAATTCATTTTCAAATGTGAAAAAAATTGCCAATTTTGTAAAATTCTTTTAAAACAGAAGTGAAGCAAAGTTGTCACCTATCCCTAATCTGGATCTTGTAATTTTTTTATTGTGAGAAATTGGTTTTTAAGTTTGAAACTAAGAGAAAAAGGAAGCCAAGCATTTAGGTAGGGGTCTTTGAGAAATTTACAAATGAATTGGCTATTTGGAAAAATCATGTTTCCCTGTTTTAGGGGTACTGTATCTCTCTTTCCCTCCTCCAGATCTATGCCATCTTTGCTTGATTAAGAGCATAAGAACGTGAAAGCTCCCCTTGTCTGAACATTTTAGTGACCCAGCAAAGGTTTCACTTCATCCAGAAATCTGTTACATGTTAATGAGGTGGCTGGGTGAGCTTTCCATTAAAAAAGGTCTTACACCACTTTTCTTAAATCCCTTTTTTCACCCATCAAAATCACCATCAAGATGATCAATAGTAAATGATTTTGAGAGTTGTAGTTTGAAATCTCTGGAAAGCAAAATATCCTCTAAATTAAACGAAGACCAGTCACAGCTCTCAGCTGCCATTTACCTGTCACAATTTCAGCTTGCTCTGTCTTATACTTATCTCTATGAATGGGGAAGACATTGTTCCTACTTCTTGTTACTGCCTACCTCCGTGTGAGACATCTAAGTCAAGAGAATTTGTGATCTCTGGGTGCTGCTCCTTGAATGTGGAGAAACCAGTTCTTGTGACCTTTGTCAGACCAGCTACTGTTTCTTTTTCATGTCACAGACTGCCATTATGAACTCCTGCTGATGCTCTCTGCCTGCAGAAGAAAGGTATCTATTGTTACCTCCTGCTGATGAAAGAGGCAAGGGAGACTCCTTGTGTCATCGTGCTGGTGCAACCTGCTTCTGTGAGAGACTGGCTAAGAGAGGTAAGACTCATTATGACATTGCGCGACTGCTGCTTGCATACAGAGGAGAGACTTTCTCCAATGTTGCGCTCATGCTGTCAGCATCCATGAGGGGTTGGTTCTCCTACCTCTTACTGAGCCAGCCTGCCTGCCTGCCTACCAGCTTGAATGAGAAGCTGGCCATTTTGTACACATTCCTGACAAATCTCTTTATATCCCAAGGATCTAGGACTGAAGTCAATAAGGTAACAAGAAGTCATGTTTAGGCTGAATATCAGGAAAAGTGTCCTAACTGTTAGAGCAGCATGACAATGGAACCAATTACCTCCAGAGGTGGTGAGTGCTCCAACACTGGAGGCATTCAAGAGAAAATTGGACAACCATTTATCAAATCTCCTTTGATTTGGATTCCAGCATTAAGCAGGAGGTGGACTTCATGGCCTTATGGGCCACTTCCAACTCTATTATTCTGTAATTCTATAATGTCCTTTTGCTAGATAAGCTGGTCTCAGGGACAAAATTTATGCTGGCCAGGGCATTGATTGCAATGGGCACAGGTCTTAATGAACAGAGTCCTACCAGAAAATCAGATAAGCCAGGTTGGGGGAGATCTAAACCAAAGTCCAAGAATCAAGCTGGGGTAGTAACATTAGGAAATGAATAAGGAGAATTCACTCAGCTGTGGTCGCACCTGGAAGTGGAAGTGAAAGTGAAAGGAAAGTGCAAAGAAAAATACTGCATAGGAACCTGGAATGTAAGATATATAAACCTTGGTAAGACGGATGTGGTCAAACAGGAGATGGCAAGAATAAACATTGACATCCTGGGTGTCAGTGAACTAAAATGGACGGGAATGGGCAAAATCAATTCAGACAATTATATGTACTATTGTGGGCAAGACACCAAAGAAAGATGTTATTCTCCTTATAGGGGATTGGAATGCTGAAGTAGGGAGTCAAGAAATAGGGCTATTAGAGCTTTGTCAAGAGAACAAGCTGGTCATCACAAACACTCTTTTCCAACAACACAAGAGCGACTGTAGACATGGACATCACCAGATGGACAATACCGAAATCAGATTGATTATGTTCTCTGGAGCCAAAGAGGGAGAAGCTCTATACACTCCACAAAAACAAGTCCTGGAGCTGATTGTGGCTCTGATCATCAGCTTCTTGAAGCAAATCTCAAGCTTAAACTGAAGAACATAGGAAAAAACACTGGGCTAGTCAGGTATAATCTAAACCAGATCCCTTATGAATACACAGTGAAAGTGAAGAACAGATTTAAGAAACTCGATTTGAGGGACAGAGCACCTGAAGAACTATGGCTGGAGGCTCGTGACATTGTACAGGAGGCAGCAACAAAAACCATCCCAAAGAAAAGGAAAGGCAAGAAAGCAAAGTGGCTGTCCAACGAGGCCTTACAAATAGCAGAGAAGAGAAGGGACACATAATGCAAGGGAGATAGGGAAAGTTACAGAAAATGGAATGTAGACTTCAAAAGAATAGCAAGGAGAGACAAGAGGGCCTTCCTAAATGAACAGTGGAAAGAAATAGAGGGAAATAATAGATTTCGAAGGGGCAGAGGAACTAGAGACCAAATTGTTAACATGCACTGGATTATGGAGAAAGCCAGAGAGTTCCAGAAAAAGATCTACTTCTGCTTCATTTACTACGCAAAATCCTTTGATTGTGTGGACTGCAACAAACAAATGGGAGTGCCTGACCACCTTATCTATCTCCTGAGAAATCTATATGTGGGATAGGAAGCAACAGTTAGAACTGGATATGGAACAACTGATTGGTTCAAAATTGGGAAAGGAGTATGACAGAACTGTATATTGTCTCCCTGCTTACTTAATTTATATGCAGAATACATCATGTGAAAGGCTGGACTGGAGGAATCCCAAGCAGAATTAAGATTGCCAGAAGAAATGTCAAGAACTTCAGATATGCAGATGATACTACTCTGATGGCAGAAAGTGAGGAGGAATTACAGAACCTCTTAATGAGGGTGAAAGAGGAGAGGGCTCAAAAAAAACTAAGATCATGGCCACTGGTCCCATCTACCCCTGGTAAATAGAAGTGTGAAGGCAAGAGGAGAAGGGGACGACAGAGGCCGAGATGGTTGGACAGTGTCATCAATGCTACCCACATGAATTTGACCAAACTCTGGGAGGCAGTGGAAATCAGGAGGGCCTGGCATGCTCTGGTCCATGGGGTCACAAAGAGTCGGACATGACTTAGCAACTAAACAAGAACAAAGGAGAATTCAGGGAGCATAATCAAGCAATCTAAAAACTATAGCCGGCAGCAAAAAGATAAATCAAAGATAGGCAGTATCTATACTAAAGATAGATACTGTCTTCAAAACACTTGCACTCACAGCCTATTTAGCTGAATTGCTTTAGATGGTTCTGGGTAATCCTCCCTGGAGGATTCATCCAGTGGAAACATGACAGAAAGCCTGGAGCCTTCCCAATATCTCTGGAAGCATTCCCCACCCACTGTCCCTGTGTAGGTCAAACCACTGCCTTTACAATTGGAGACTCTCCCAGTGATCACAAGACCTGTTCTCCATATATCTTTGAAAACAGCCAAAGAGGCTTGTGGCCCTAGTGGCTTGTAGCTCACACACATTCCACTCATGTGAACATCATGCATTCAATGCTTCTTGAAGAAGTATTTTTTTTCAATCTGTCCATTTAATGACTCCAGGTTTCACTATTATCAGGTCAAAATATTTCACTTTGTTATATTTGGCCCTTATTTTAAAAGCACAACCTACAGGACACCAGTGGATCACAGCTGGAGATTTTAAGATGCCCCCCCATACACTTTTTCTTGCTGTACAACACAGATGAATATGCTTATGGATCCTGGGGGGTCAAAAATGTACCCTCAGTGCCCCCCTCCGCATGAGGCTGAATATAGCTATGTTTGGCCATTTAAGTAAAGGACATGTCCAGATGGGCTCTTTCATTTGTTTTTTAACAAAATGGGAGGCATATAGAGGAAACCATAGAAAATCACAATGTTTTTGGATTTTAAAAATAGAGGGTTGTATAAGGCACTCTTGAGGACTCTTAGGGTTTCAAAAATGCTCCTGGGGCTGCCTGATGCCTGCACACAATGTTTTGCCCACCTCTGCTGTAGAGAAAAGATTGTTGCTATTAGGGATCCGGATCAGGCTGGTAGGCATTGTGGCGTTCACCCTCGTAACCCTTTCTTGGGGCACGAGCACACGAAGGCAAACAATCCCCTCTTTTACACTGCTTCCACCAGGTGATCACTAAATCACCATTACTTCTGGAAGATAAAGATTCAGGTCCACACTCAAAGTCTTTTAAACAGGACTTTTGTTTATTGATTACAGAAATTGATATTGATTCATGACTATCTTCTTTAAGTAAATTTATTATTAACAACAATCTTCTATTTGATAATACACTCCTAACTCTAATCACACCTCAGAATTTCCCAAACTCCACACTCTGTCCCCTTCTCCCTTCCTCTCACTCTACTCTCTCTCTACTCTCTCTTTCTCTGACCTCCCTGACTCTCTGACTCCGCCTCTTATAGCATCTCTTTTGGCTTCGCCTCTCAGCAACATGAATATGCATGAACAATTACATAACAAAACATGAACCATTGACCTAATAAAGGGGAATGCTACAGGTGTTCTATTCAAAATTAAACAGGATGCCCCTGTTTTGATCATCAATAAGTGAAAAATCAGGCTGGTAAGGAAAAGTTGCACACAACAAAGGCTTGCATTTTAGAGCTATGCTTTGAATGCCCAGAATTTGTTACAAGAGGAGCAGAAGGGCTCACTTATGAGAAAGCATGTACAGAATTCATCTGTGCTAATGTCTCTCAAAGCCACTGTTTGGGGATTTACATCAAGGATAGCATGCTGAAATCCAGTTGCTTAGCATAAGTCTCAGTAGAGCTGGCTACCAACTAAGATTAGTATTGTACACCAGAGCTCAAAAGAATTTACTCTCTTCCTTTACCTAAGAGGTTCTAGGTGGAGCTTTTCCGAGTTCTGTTGTAGACAAGCGATGAAGCTCTGCTCCCATTTGGATTAGTAAGGTTGAGCAAGGTATCTCATTAGTTGTTGTTTTTTCCACATTTTCATTCACCATGTAGCACTTGTTTGCTTTCTTTTCCATTGCCTTAATACAGATTCTTGTTAAATTCATAAACAAGCAGCTAAAGACATGTTTTATAGATACATAATGAAAAGATGTGATACATGTTGATAAATTTGACAAAGAAGCACAAGAAGCACAAATTTAATATAGAACAAAATGTCTTCCATGATATGTTACAATTATTTTCATTTTTTTTCTTATTCTTAGCATCTCTTGTCTTGACTTTTGTTATTCTGTGGTGCAGTCCAGCTTTTTTTAACTGATGAGAGACAAGGTGGCAAAATAAGTAATAAACCTTAAAAACAGGTGTATCATTACTCAGTTGGTAGACTTAACCAGTAAAGTAGAGGATTAGCTCCAAAAAGTCTGTGAAAAAAATTCCCAAAATACTTGTAAACTCATCTAAGCAGCAAGACATTTCATTTTGCATATATAACTAGCGTGAAGTTTTTCACCCCTGTTGAATCTAAACTGTTTTTGTTGTCTATCTGTTCTTAAGTTTTTATTTATCTTTTAAAGAGAGGGGGGAGCAGTTGGGGGCTGGGAGGAAAAAAGAAAATGAGAGAGAAACTGAAAGGTTTAGTCTCAGTTCTGGAAAGTTGAAGGCCCTTCCCCATATCTACCTCATTCTGTGTGGTTCTGCACTGCAGGCCAGGTTCTGTTTCATGTCCAGCTGCTTGGCAAAATGAAACTAAACACTAAGTTCAGAACTTTTAAGGCCATTAACATGAGGACAGGAAAAGAACTTGAGAATAACCAGCATTGTTTTCTGTTGAGGCAACCTTGCATGTTTTGAAATGTGGAGTATCAGTGGGAGGAAGGCTATTAGGACTTAACCAGATTATCTCCTTTTCCACTAAGCTAT